TGAGTTTTTTGATTTTCAATTTCTCGATTTCACGATTTTTTGGTGCGATTTCTTGACATCTGAGAGTTTCGATGTTAAGATTTTTCGAATTTTCAAATTTTAGATTTCTCGATTTTTCAAGTTTTCAATTTTTCGATTTTCCAACATTTCAATTTTGAATTTTTCAATTTCTGGATTTTTCAGTATTTTAAGTTCTCGATTTTTTGTTTCGATTGACCGATTTTCCGATCTTTCGACTACTTCGATTTTTTGATTTTTAAGTTTTTAGATTTCCCAGTTTCTCGATTTATCGATATTTTTTCGGATGTTTAAATTTTTCGAATATTCAATTTCTCGATTTGGCAACTTTTGGGTTTTTTTGTTTTTTCAATTTCGGCCATTTCGATTTCTCAATTTTTCGATTATTCGATGTTTCAGTTTTTTGAAGTTTCGATTTTTCGAATTTTCTATATTAATTGAGTTTCCAGTGTTTTGATTTGAGTTTTTTGATTTTTCAACTTCTCGATTTTACGATTTTTTGGTGCGATTTCTTGACATCTGGGAGTTTCGATGTTAAGATTTTTCGAATTTTCAAATTTTAGATTTCTCGATTTTTCAAGTTTTCAATTTTTCGATTTTCCAACATTTCAATTTTGAATTTTTCAATTTCTGGATTTTTCAGTATTTTAAGTTCTCGATTTTTTGTTTCGATTGACCGATTTTCCGATCTTTCGACTACTTCGATTTTTTGATTTTTAAGTTTTTAGATTTCCCAGCTTCTCGATTTATCGATATTTTTTCGGATGTTTAAATTTTTCGAATATTCAATTTCTCGATTTGGCAACTTTTGGGTTTTTTGTTTTTTCAATTTCGGCCATTTCGATTTCTCAATTTTTCGATTATTCGATGTTTCAGTTTTTTGAAGTTTCGATTTTTCGAATTTTCTATATTAATTGAGTTTTCAGTGTTTTGATTTGAGTTTTTTGATTTTTCAATTTCTCGATTTCACGATTTTTTGGTGCGATTTCTTGACATCTGAGAGTTTCGATGTTAAGATTTTTCGAATTTTCAAATTTTAGATTTCTCGATTTTTCAAGTTTTCAATTTTTCGATTTTCCAACATTTCAATTTTGAATTTTTCAATTTCTGGATTTTTCAGTATTTTAAGTTCTCGATTTTTTGTTTCGATTGACCGATTTTCCGATCTTTCGACTACTTCGATTTTTTGATTTTTAAGTTTTTAGATTTCCCAGTTTCTCGATTTATCGATATTTTTTCGGATGTTTAAATTTTTCGAATATTCAATTTCTCGATTTGGCAACTTTTGGGTTTTTTTGTTTTTTCAATTTCGGCCATTTCGATTTCTCAATTTTTCGATTATTCGATGTTTCAGTTTTTTGAAGCTTCGATTTTTCGAATTTTCTATATTAATTGAGTTTCCAGTGTTTTGATTTGAGTTTTTTGATTTTTCAATTTCTCGATTTCACGATTTTTTGGTGCGATTTCTTGACATCTGGGAGTTTCGATGTTAAGATTTTTCGAATTTTCAAATTTTAGATTTCTCGATTTTCAAGTTTTCAATTTTTCGATTTTCCAACATTTCAATTTTGAATTTTTCAATTTCTGGATTTTTCAGTATTGTAAGTTCTTGATTTTTTGTTTCGATTGACCGATTTTCCGATCTTTCGACTACTTCGATTGTTTGATTTTTAAGTTTTTAGATTTCCCAGTTTCTCGATTTATCGATATTTTTTCAGATGTTTAAATTTTTCGAATATTCAATTTCTCGATTTGGCAACTTTTGGGTTTTTTGTTTTTTCAATTTCGGCCATTTCGATTTTTCGAATTTTCTATATTAATTGAGTTTTCAGTGTTTTGATTTGAGTTTTTTGATTTTTCAATTTCTCGATTTCACGATTTTTTGGTGCGATTTCTTGACATCTGGGAGTTTCGATGTTAAGATTTTTCGAATTTTCAAATTTTAGATTTCTCGATTTTTCAAGTTTTCAATTTTTCGATTTTCCAACATTTCAATTTTGAATTTTTCAATTTCTGGATTTTTCAGTATTTTAAGTTCTCGATTTTTTGTTTCGATTGACCGATTTTCCGATCTTTCGACTACTTCGATTTTTTGATTTTTAAGTTTTTAGATTTCCCAGTTTCTCGATTTATCGATATTTTTTCGGATGTTTAAATTTTTCGAATATTCAATTTCTCGATTTGGCAACTTTTGGGTTTTTTTGTTTTTTCAATTTCGGCCATTTCGATTTCTCAATTTTTCGATTATTCGATGTTTCAGTTTTTTGAAGCTTCGATTTTTCGAATTTTCTATATTAATTGAGTTTCCAGTGTTTTGATTTGAGTTTTTTGATTTTTCAATTTCTCGATTTCACGATTTTTTGGTGCGATTTCTTGACATCTGGGAGTTTCGATGTTAAGATTTTTCGAATTTTCAAATTTTAGATTTCTCGATTTTTCAAGTTTTCAATTTTTCGATTTTCCAACATTTCAATTTTGAATTTTTCAATTTCTGGATTTTTCAGTATTTTAAGTTCTCGATTTTTTGTTTCGATTGACCGATTTTCCGATCTTTCGACTACTTCGATTTTTTGATTTTTAAGTTTTTAGATTTCCCAGCTTCTCGATTTATCGATATTTTTTCGGATGTTTAAATTTTTCGAATATTCAATTTCTCGATTTGACAACTTTTGGGTTTTTTTGTTTTTTCAATTTCGGCCATTTCGATTTCTCAATTTTTCGATTATTCGATGTCTCAGACTTTTGAAGTTTCGATTTTTTCATTTTACGTTTTTTCAATTTTTCGAGTTTCCAAGTATTCCTCGTTTCAGTTTTTTAATTCTTCGACTTTTTCGGTTTTCGATTTTTCGACTTTTCCTTTTCAATTTTTAAATTTTTGGATTTTTTCAATTTTTTAATGTTTCGGAATTTTGATTTTTCGATTTTTCAGTTTTTCGATATTTCTATTTTCAATTTTTCGAATTTTCTAAATGCTTGATTTTTCAGTTTTTTAATTTTTTACTTTTTCAATTGTTGATATTTTTGTAGTTTTTTCGATTCCACGATTTTTTGGTGCGATTTCTTGACATCTGGGATTTTCCATGTTAAAATTTTTCGAATAGTTTGACAGTTTTTTAATTCGTCGATTTTCTCGGTTTTCGATTTTTCGACTTTTCCTTTTCAATTTTTAAATTTTTCGATTTTTACTTCCCGAGCGTAAGCAAAGGAAGTATTGTAATCGAGTCCATCGGTCGACTCTCTACTTTTACGTTTTCTCGATCTTTCATAACCCCTAGAAGACAAAGAAATAGGTCTGCCATTTCCGTCTGTCTGCCGTCCTAGATTTTTATTAGACAGATAATCTCCGAAAGTACTGGACCGATTGTTGTGAAATTTTGTACTTATATTAAGAATATCATGTAGATGGTAAAACGCTAACCAAAATTTGTCTAATCATCCCCACCACTAATGCGATGACGTCACTTCAAAATTGTACACAGTAAATGGGTTTTCAATTGTATAAAATAACATAGTCCTACACATGTAGTTTACAACTCCGAATTGACTTTTCACCGGAAACGTCCAGATTTTTGGAAAAAAAATCAAAATTATAAAACAACATTTTGAAATTTAATTTTTAATCTGCTAACCAGAATGCTTTGAAATGTTGCAGATGTTTTAAGGCTATAAAGAGTATCATAAATCTTTAGTCAAAAAATATTTGCTTATCCCCTCCAAAAACTTGATGACGTCAGCGCAAAAGTTTGCCCAATAAATCATATCTAAAATGTACAAAATATGATGAGTCTGTACTTGTGATCTATCACTCCGTTCATATTTTTTGGATTTGCATATACAGGGTGACTCAAAAAAATTAATTAATGCGTAAATTAATTTTACTGATTTACTCAGGAACTATAAAACCGAATTCTTTGAAATCCACTTCGGAAAAAAAACATAATTGGCATGCAATCGTCACGTTACCGACAGCGAGGGAAGTACTGTCTAAACTCTTTAGACCAATTTTTCATAGTTGGACCTAACGCGAGGCGGGCTTGGCAGGTCCGTTTTGCCCTAGAATGTGCCGATTATGTTTAAGTGTAAATCTTGGGCAATAAAATTAATATTTTTACAACCCTCGGTAGAATAATTTATCGTGATATATTCTCAGAAATCGTGAAACGAGATTAAAATAAAATGAGTTTCAACAAAAATCTGCAATTTAAAGTTGCACTCTGGTGATTCCGGCCTGCCAGGCAGCCCTTGATCCTATAAAGGGTTTAAATACCTTTCTAAGAAATTGTACTAATTTTGCCTTCGAACGGAACCAGCAATTCTTCCTAAAATGTATATACCTGCCGCACCGGGATAGACGATTACCGGACATGGTCATAAAAACATCGTAAGCCGATATTGAAGAATAATAATTTATGTCAGGTTGCCGACAACTAGACCTTCAGCACAGGATAATCATTTCCCGTATTCTTTTGAAATATTAATTTTAATGCTGGAGATAATTATTAGATATACTCAAACACAATTTGGACACTAGTATGGGAATAAAAACAAAAAAATATTCTTTTTAAGCGTACGTAATAAATATTGCACAATTTGCGACACATCAAACAGCGAAGCGATGGCCTATTTGCAGGAAAAAAGAAAAGATTTTTCAGTCTTGAATAACTATGCTACAGTAAAATGTTTATTTTTTAAATTTAATACCACAATCCCTTCTTCTGCACCTGTGGAACGGGTGTTTAGTAGCGGAAACCAAATTCTGACACCAAGAAGAAATAATTTAGGTGACAATACGTTCGAAATGTTGTTAATTTAAAAAAAAAATCATTAAACAATACATAAACATGTTTTCAGTTATCTTATTCCCCAAAGCTTCAAAAAGTATCTGTTTTCTTGTATCTGTATCTAGATACTTTTATCTTTCATATATCTAGATCTGTATCTAGATACTTTTAAAAGTATCTGTCCCCAACATTGAAAGTTACCTTCATGATGTAACCCTTTGCCGGTGACGGTGCACTGCACGATCAAGCCAGTGAGGAAGAATGAAGGCCATGCGGCCAAAATTATCCACGAGAACCAGCACGGCGGCGGTTCTACCGGTTTGAGGGACATCCTTTGCCATACCCAAGACAGAATGGTCAGTCGTTCGACGAAGTAATCGATGCCTATGGAAAAAATGGCACCTCCAAAAATGCTGGTGCAGACGATGGTCAAACCTGCAAATGCTGGTCAGGAAGGTGGAATTTTTTCGCTTGGGGTTATTACTTTTTCGAAAATATAGTGTCAAAATTGCGAATGTTAATGCCATAGCGAGTAAAATGCCCACGCATAACCAGATGGATCCTTTGGGTGAGGTGTTGACGAGATAGTCGGTTATCAAGAGTGACGCAGCGCCCAGGAGGAGACCGGTGTGAAGACCGCTGACGAACAGACCGACGTATTGTACCAGCATTGTTATCAGTCCGAAAAGAACTCCGGCCAGCAGAGCAACACCTAAAAACGAAAGTTTGCGAAATGCTCATTTTTGTGGTTGCGATATTTCTAAGAATTTAAGAATTTTAACAGGGGTATTAGACATCTTTGCAACTCAAAAATCACTAAAATGATTTCTTTTTGGACTTTTCGAGTTTCCAACACTGAAATTTTCAGTTTTTTTGATGTTTGAAATTTTGTATTTTTTTTTAGGTTGGTGACATAATTAAATTTTTTTCATGTCAAAATTGACAACTGTGAACTGACATGTTAACATTGCTGCCAATAATTCAGAATTGCCAACCCAAAAATTTGCTTCAATCATTAAAGTCACCCGGTAGTTATCAAATATTTTTCTATACAAAGCGATTGATTTTATTTTTCATTTTAAACAATTCTAGACTTAAAAACTTAGACGAATTATCAGGATCTTCAGTACTTTTTTAATTTTGAAAATATTGTGAATTTAGTAGGTCTTGGAAATTTCTATATATCTTGAGAACTTCTTAACCAATTATAAAAAGCATTTGAAAGACAGCTGGATATTTTTCAAAACGCCACCAAATCCGAAATCATAATTTTTTTCAAAGTCATTAAAAATAATTATCGGGCTTTAAATTTTGTCATAATTTTAAAACTGCAAAAATTCACTTTACAACTAGGCTTTCACAAATATTACGTGTATCTATCTAGTGACCTGGGAAATTTACAAATGCTGCAAATTTGCCACTTCTTAGTAATTATTGACGTTTTAAAAGGTTTAATTAAAATCATTAACATGTCATCTGTCAGAATAATGATGACATTTGAACTTCCGTTGACATTATAATTATACATTCTGAAAGAGCCGTAATAAATCAGTGCTAACTTGGATGAATGAATCATTTATGAAAAAGCATTAGACTAAATTATCGTATACAGGGTGAGTCATTAAGCGTATATTTATTAATTATAGAATAGGATACCCTGTACATTTTTACTCGTTCTGACGGATCTCTTTATAAGATTTACAAGCATATTCTATTTTCGAAATTCTGATGCGACGTTGCCAAGTAATTCCATTTTTTTTTTGATAATTTGATATAGAAAAAATCAGTTATATTTTTTTGGCTTTTTTTTCTTAATATGCATACCCATCTTTTCAAAACAAGAAACTTATCACCTGCTAAGATAAGACTGATACTGGCAAATGACCTACTCTCTAAGAAAATGAAGGGTAGAGGGTATATCATTTGGCAAAATCAGTCTTGTCGTGGGAAGTATTGGCCCCGCCCACCCACCCTTTATTTTCTTCGAAGTATGCCATTTGCCAAAATTAGTCTTATTTTGGCAAGTACTAGCCCCACCCGCCCGCCCTTTATTTTCTTAAAGGGCTTGTACCTGCTAAGATACGACTGATTTTGGCTAATGAGATCTTTGTAAGAAAATAGACGGCGGGTGGGCGGGGTTAGTACCTGTTAAGATAAGACTGATATTGGCAAATGCGATACCCTTTAAGAAAAGTGAGGGCGGGTGGGCGTGGCTAGTACCTGCTAAAATAAGACCGATTTTGGCAAATGACGTATCCTCTAATGGTACATTTTTGCAAGAAAATATGGATTGTGCAATTATGCACCTTCTTGGCTGACGACGAATAAAAAATATCATCACAATTGAGATAGGGCGGGTGGGCGGGGTAAATATTTTTCCTTTTTTTCTTACTATACATAGTGTTATAATTTATAACTTTAAAATATTCTAATATGTCTTTTTTTCAAATAGATTATCCTGTACTCTACTTGAAAAAACCAATAAAGACGACGAAAAACATGATAAAAATGGGAAAAAGAAAAACTACAAAAAAATGTCAAAAAGATGACAAAGAGAAGGCAGAAACGTCAAAAAAGTTGAAAAAAAGCAACAGAAAATAAATGAGAAAAAAAGCGAATAAAAAGCGAAAAAAAAAGGTGACAAGAAAATCCATAATAAAAAGTGACAGAAATGGTAACAAACAAAAAAGCCGATAGGAAGGTCTACAAAAAGTGAGGAAAAAAGCGTTAAAAAATGATAAAAACAACGACAGAAACGTCAAGAAAGGGACACAAATGTAGCAAAAAAAGACGACAAAAAGCGGTTAAAAGACTATAAAAGGGGGTGACAAGAAAGAATACTTCCAAAGGGCAATAAAACAGACGAAAAAGTGCAATAAACATAGCGGCAAAATAAAAAAAAAAAAAGGGCGGTAAAACAGGCGACAATAAAGTCCACAATTAAAGCCACAGAAAAGCCAAAAAAAAAAGGTGAAAAGAAAGTCCAGAAGAAAAAGCGATAAAAAAATGCCACAAAGGAAGGATGACAAAAATACAACAGAAAAAGACGACAGAAACGCGAATAAAAATCGATGGAACAGCGATAAGGAAGAATACTTCGAAAGGGCCATAAAGAAGACGAGAAAAGGCGATAAAAATGGGGACAAAAACTCCAATAAAAGGTGTAAAATATTTTTAATTTCTCGTAGAGAAATAAGGATTTTGCAATTAAGCTCCGCCCCTTGGCTCACGACGAATAAAAAACATTCATCACAATTGAGATAGGGCGGGTGGGCGGGGTTAATATTTTTCCTTTTTTTCTTAACATACATATTATAAGTTATAACTTTAAAATATGCTAATATGTATTTTTTTCCAAATAGATTATCCTGTACTCTATTTGAAAGAACCAATAAAGACGACGAAAAACGTGATAAAAATAGGAAAAAGAAAAACTACAAAAAAATGTCAAAAAGATGACAAGAACAAGGCAGAAACGTCAAAAAAGGTGAAAAAAAGCAACAGAAAACAAATGAAAAAAAAAGCGAAAAAAAAAGTTGACAAGAAAATCCATAATAAAAAGTGACAGAAACGGTAACCAACAAAAAAGCCGATAGGAAGGTCTACAGTAAAAATTGAGGAAAAAAGCGTTAAAAAGATGATAAAAATAACGACAGAAACGTCAAAAAAGCGACAAAAATGTAGCAAAAAAAGACGACAAAAAGCGGTTAAAAGACTATAAAAAGGGAGGCAAGAAATAACACTTCCAAAGGGTAATAAAAAAGATGAAAAAATGCAATAAAAATAGCGGCAAAATAAAACAAAAAAAAGGCGATAAAACAGGCGACAATAAAGTCCACAATAAAAGCCATAGAAAAGCGACAAAAAATGCCACAAAGGAAGGATGACAAAAATACAACAGAAAAAGACGACAAAAACGCGAATAAAAATCGATGGAACAGCGATAAAAATGGGGACAAAAACTCCAATAAAAGGTGTAAAATGTTTTTAATTTCTCGTAGAGAAATAAGGATTTTGCAATTAAGCTCCGCCCCTTGGCTCACGACGAATAAAAAATATTCATCACATACGGCGCATATAGGGCACATAGGGCGGGTGGGCGGGGTTCACGTTCACCTTTTTTTCTTAATATATGTAGTCATCTTTTCACAATAAAAAACTTAAAACATGTATAGGGAAATATCGACTTTGTAATTACGCTCCGCCCTTCGGTCTGACAACAAATGAAAAATTCATCACGATTGAGATCGAAACGAATGGGTGGGGCTTCTCTTTTGGTTTTCTTTTTTAATTAATACATATAGTTTTCTTTGATAAACAATGGTGTGTGCTTTGGTGTGATAGAAATAAAATTCAATCTTAGTACAGAGTGTTTAAATTTATTACAATTTTCAAATACATATTTATAGATTTTTTTAAATACAAAACTTTGTATTTTATTACTGCATCTTATTCTGTTTTTTATTCTCTTTATAAAACACATTAAAACAAAGGAACAAGAAATGAAGGATGATGCAGTAATAAAATACACGGTGTTCTATTTGAAAAAAACCCAAATATCAAATTTGAAATTGCAGCGATTTAAATTTTTTTATAATCACTCTGTACATTAAAATTTGATTTAATTGATACTACAACAAATCTCTGCATAGAATAATAAACATCGATCTCAAAAATATTATTGCGATTTTTTTGTGCATTGCTAAAAAAATTTAAGAAAATTGGAATAACGTGGCAACGTCGCATCGGTATTGTAAAAATAAACTATTGCTATATATTATATGTTACGTCAAAAACATAATTCTCTGTAGATTATAAATAAATTATGCAACTTAAAAGGTCGTACAACTTCGTAGTTTGGATTTTTAAGATTTTAAATTTTATGAGGCTCTGCAGTATCTGTAATTTCAAAAATAAAATAAATTTCGAAAAACGTAAAACGTCATTAAAACTTTATGGACACAGATGGTGACAGATTTTTAACATGTGCCCTGTATATTTAATGGTTTTTAATTTGTTTTAATCTCAGCTATATTTTTTCCAAAATTTAGAGCTACATTGTCTAAAAACATGAGGTAATCAACGAAATAAGTAATTAATTATTTCGTATTGTCAGAATTTTTAACCTCAATTATACAGAACTGTCAGAATCTATGCGGCGGATTTATTTAGAAAATAACAATAATTTACAAAATGTAAACACCCAATTTTCACCCTGTTTAGTGCATATTTTATTACTCCACCACTGGTACCAACTCTCTAAAAATAACTGCACTAAAATCAGTTATATACCGTTGTTGGCAGTTGCTTCTTAAACAAAAACTCGTCTTTAATCCTCTCCAGGTAATCAAACTAATAATAACGAAGAATGAAAAACAAGAAAACTAAGAAGTGCCCACCTGCGTTTCCATAAGAGGGCATCAGTTCACCTTGAAGACATATGAGATAAACTATAAGTGAAGCGGAGATGAATCCAGTGAGAAACATTACGGTCTTAAAGCACTGATAACCTGAAATTCCCATGTTTAATTAGTCAAATCTGATACTAACGCCAAGTAGTGCGATCAATGTAAACCGAGCGATTTCACACGACCCTGTGCGATCCGACCTTGACCAGCGTTAATTATCGTCATCGTGAAAAGAGTTGTTCACAGTTGGCTGCACTTCTCGTGCGTTGTCCATCCTGTTGGCGAAAAGCCGAATAGTGCATGGCCGTCGTAGCGTCTTATTATTACCCAATGTCGGCGTTAGATAATACTACGCTTGCAGTTATTTGGCGAATTACACGCGATCGTGAAGTTGCAGAATTCGGAAATTGCGTAACGGTGAAAATCGAATTTTTACCTAGAAATGTATAAAGAACTCCAACGACTATGCACACTAGAAAAACGGCTGCAGCGGTGAGATCATAGTAAGTATCGACTCGAGCGCAGAGCTCTACTTTGGGATCGGTTGGGTACATCAGACTTGGAAATCTTGTCCCGTTGGGTTTGGGCGGTACTAGCGGTCCGGGTTCTACTCTACTCGTCATCTTCACTCTGGAATCAACAAGAAGTGGATTGTAAACACTGCGGTCAACAAGTTGAGATTTCAGTTTCAAACTAGTTGGGTTTTACACTAGTTTTTGAGTTGTTCAAGGATCCAATCTGAAGCTTTTATTATTCAGAATTTTCTACAATGACACTGTCAGCGATACGAAGGATTAAATAATGACTTTACTTTATTACTGACGATAGTTTACTTACTCATCATGAACTAATGCTGATTTAAGGTTGTATTAAAATGTTGAACACTGTTACATAACCTGAAAACTTTATTGTCAAATTCACAACAAAAGATAGATGAACAAAAACCTGTTTTAGAGAATATATTCAAAGCAAATAATCAACGGAAAAAAGTGTATTTTTATCAGTGTACATGCTTAACTTCGATTGTTGATGTTTATACATCGAAAGAATGTCACGTAGAGATTTGTTTAATTTTAATGAGTTGTCTCCTCAAAACAGATGACTAAAATTATTAATTAAGTCACAATGGAACAAAATGTTTTGAATATGATTATTATTATTCTTATTTGGTCATAATTAAATAAAAATGTGGGTATTCTCACATTTTCTAGAAAATGGTGTTCTTAATTTGATCAATAAAAAATTGGTCGAAGACTATAAGTATAATCCGATAAATCCAGCTCTTTAAAAAAATGATAAAATTTGATTTTGCGATTTTCCTTTTGTGATAACCGCTGTAAAGTAAAAACCACAGGCATAAATAACACCCCCTGTCTTTCAGCAGTAGGTAATAGCGATCTGAAGCTCAAGTGTTTATTTATGTTTATACATCGAAAGAATGTCACATAGAGATTAATTTGATTTGAATGAGTTTGTCTTCTCAAAACAGAAAACTAAAATTATTAATTAAACCACAATCGAACAAAATGTTATGAATATTATAATTTTTATTTTATTATTATTATATAAAGACGTATTCTTCACATGTTCGAGAAAATGGGGTCACTCGTTCTTAGTTTGACCAATAAAAGATTTGTGATGACGTCATCCACATGGATAATACTAGTCACAGTACAAAAGAAAAGTAGTCACAGCGTATTACCAATGCCAGAATGTTGATGAAAAAGCTAAGGAAGGATTACAATAGCGAAAGGCTACTTTCATGTTGTCTTGACGTTTCATGACCTCTAGAGTACGAAAAAATAGGTCTCCCGTTTCCACCTGTAGGTCTGCCGTCTGTGTCGATTTTAATTAGTCAGATAATCTTCGACTACCATCGATTGTTCTCTACTTGAATTTTACAAAATAACATACTCTAATATTTGTGGTTTATGAATCCGTTTTGATTTTTACCCTAGGTATCCAAATTTTCTCAAAATAAAGTAAAAATTATATCATCACATTGTATGCCTGGATAAGAACAGTGGTGTGTGGTAAATAAGTGGTCGTGTCGTAAAAATGACTTGGGGGTTGACTCATGGTCACAATTATTTTATTGATCAAATTAAGAACGAGTCATTCCATTTTCTCGACAATTTGAGAATACAGTAACATTGCACCCGCCTATATTTAATAATAAGTAAGAACTTTCATAATGACAGCTTGTTACGTGCTTAATCGTCGCATTCTTTCGATTTAGAAAAATAAACAATCGAAGTTAAACATGTACTGATAATATAGTTTTTCCTGTTGGTTATCTGTTTTAAATACTTTACCGTATAGGGGTTGTCATAAAAAATTAATAAAATTTACAAAATTAAGATCAAGTTGTATTTGTTCAAATGTACTTCAGAGGCGGCGGAAATTCTGTCTAAATAACTTTAGACCAATTTTTTAGTAATAATCTAAATCTGCAAAAATTCCATATAGTTGTTTAGTAAACCATGAAATTTATTTTTAAAATAATGATTGTAGTTACTAGAAAATTATTTGACCGTAAATGTCAAACTGATTAACACGTTGCTATTACCACCATATTCTATTCAAAAATTAAATTTCAAAGGTTGCTACACGATTTTTTTTTACCATATGGTACAGGCGGCGTTATTTAAAAAAATACAACTATGGTTTGGAACCTTCTGATGAAAACACTACATATTTGAAAATAATTTTAAATTTTTACCCTAAATAACCATAACACTGGGTCAACTTTTTTCCCAATAATTCACAAAAAATGCGATTGATCATTTTTTTGTAAAAGTTTGTCATCAGTACTTGCTAAGATAGAACTGATTTTGGCAATGACATACCCTTTAAGAAAAAAGAGGGTGGGTGGGCGGGGCTAAGAGCTGCCAAGATAAGACTGATTCTGGGAAATGAAATACGGTCTAAGAAAATAGAGGGATGGTGGGCGGGGCTAGCACTATTTTATTAAAAAAATATTAGGCATTGTCATTCTATCATTTATAACAAATCATATGTGATTCAAGCTTTACTGTCATTTTGACACTTTTCAAAAATCTATTTTGTCAAACGATGCTTTGATATTATTAATATCCGACAGATATGACACTAGTGTCAGTAAATTAAGGTTATCTAAATAAAGCACATTTTACAAGTTATGACATTTTATGACATTAGTAAATGACAATTGCCCAATATTTTTTGAATAAAACTGTACTTGCTAAAATAAGACCGATTTTGGCAAATGATATACCCCCGAAGAAAAGAGATGGTGAGGGGCGGGGCTAGTAGCTGCCAAGATAAGACTGATTCTGGCAAATGAAATACGGTCTAACAAAACAGAGGGTGGGTGGGCGGGGCTACTATCTGCTAAGATAAAACTGATTTTGGCAAATGACATACTTTCTAAGAAAAGAGGGGGTGGGTGGGCGGGGCTAGTACTTGCTAAGATAAGAGTGATTCTGGCAAATGAAATACGGTCTAAGAAAATAGAGGGTGGGTGGGTGGGCAGGGTTAGTAGCTGCCAAGATAAGACTGATTCTGGCAAATGAAATACGGTCTAAGAAAATACAGGGTGGGTGGGCGGGGCTACTATCTGCTAAGATAAAACTGATTTTGGCAAATGACATACCTTCTAAGAAAAGAGGGGGTGGGTGGGCGGGCCTAGTACTTGCTAAAATAAGACTGGTTTTATGGCAAATCCCTCTAAGAATATAGAGCGCGGGTGGGCGGGACTAATACTATTTTATTCAAAAAATATTAGGCACTGTCATTCTATCATTTATGACAAATCATACGTGATTCAAGCCTTACTGTCATTTTAACACTTTTGAAAAATCTATTTTGTCAAACGATACCTTTGATGTTATTAATATCGGACAGATATGACACTACTGTCAGTAAATTAAGGTTATCTAAATAAAGCACATTTTACAAGTTATGACATTTTATGACATTAGTACAAGAAACTGCCCAATATTTTTTTAATAAAACTGTACTTGCTAAAATAAGACCGATTTTGGCAAATTATACACCCTCTAAGAAAAGAGAGGGTGAGGGGCGGGGCTAGTAGCTGCCAAGATAAGACTGATTTTGGCAAATGAAATACGGTCTAAGAAAATAGAGGGTGTGTGGGCGGGGCTACTATCTGCTAAGATAAAACTGATTTTGGCAAATGACATACCTTCTAAGAAAAAAGTGGGTGGGTGGGCGGGGTTAGTACTTGCTAAGATAAGACTGGTTCTATGACAATTGAGATCCCTCTAAGAATATAGACCGTGGGTGGGCGGGGCTAGTATTATTTTTTCAAAAAATATTAGGCACTGTCATTCTATCATTTATGACAAATCATATGTGATGCAAGCTTTACTGTCATTTTGACACTTTTCAAAAATATATTTTGTCAAACGATACATTTGATATTATTAATATTCGACAGATATGACACTAGTGTCAGTAAATTAAGGTTATCTAAATAAAGCACATTTTACAAGTTATGACATTTTATGACATTAGTAAATGACAACTGCCCAATATTTTTTGAATAAAATTGTACTTGCTAAAATAAGACCGATTTTGGCAAATGACATACCTTCTAAGAAAAGAGAGGGTGGGTGGGCGGGGCTAGTACCTGCTAAGATAAGAGTGATTCTGGCAAATGAAATACGGTCTAAGAAAATAGAGGGTGGGTGGGCGGGGCTACTATCTGCTAAGATAAAACTGATTTTGGCAAATCACATACCTTCTAAGAAAAGAGGGGGTGGGTGGGTGGGCCTAGTACTTGCTAAAATAAGACTGGTTTTATGGCAAATCCCTCTAAGAATATAGAGCGCGGGTGGGCGGGACTAATACTATTTTATTCAAAAAATATTAGGCGCTGTCATTCTATCATTTATGACAAATCATATGTGATTCAAGCTTTACTGTCATTTTGACGCTTGTCAAAAATCTATTTTGTCAAACGATACCTTTGATATTATTAATATCCGACAGATGTGACACAACTGTCAGTAAATTAAGGTTATCTAAATAAAGCACATTTTACAAGTTATGACATTTTATGACATTAGTAAATGACAACTGCTCAATATTTTTTGAATAAAATTGTACTTGCTAAAATAAGATCGATTTTGGCAAATAATATACCTTCTAAGAAAAGAGAGGGTGGGTGGGCGGGGCTAGTACCTGCTAAGATAAGAGTGATTCTGGTAAATGAAATACGGTCTAAGAAAACAGAGGGTGGGTGGGCGGGGCAACTATCTGCTAAGATAAAACTGATTTTTTCAAATGACATACCTTCTAAGAAAAGAGAGGGTGGGTGGGCGGGGCAACTATCTGCTAAGATAAAACTGATTTTGGCAAATGACATACCTTCTAAGAAAAGAGAGGGTGGGTGGGCGGGGCTAGTACCTGCTAAGATTAGAGTGGTTTTGGCAATTAAGATCCCTCTAAGCATATAGAGCGCGGGTGGACGGGACTAGTACTATTGTATTAAAAAAATATTAGGCACTGTCATTCTATCATTTATGACAAATCATATGTGATTCAAGTTTTACTGTCATTTTGACACTTTTCAAAAATCTATTTTGTCAAAGGATACCTTTGATATTATTAATATCCCAGAGATA